AGGACACTTTCATTTTCATTGGTTTCCATCAAGTGACCCAGAGATTAAAAATTATAATACTAATACTTAAATATGCACATATTCCACCACTCATTGTCAGTTTGTCATATTGTAGTGGCTTACATGTTGCTGTAATTCTGGAAGTCATGCCACCAGTATTTTAAATACCAGCAGAGTCAAACAGGAGTCCTGGTGTGGCACTGTGGGTTAATGCACTGGACTGCAAAATCACTTTGAACTGCAAGGTCGGTAGATCAAGCTCACCAGCTTCTCCTCAGAAATCCTATACAGGTTCGCTATGGGTCAGAACCTACTCAATGATACTTAACAACAACAACAACAGAGTCAACCAAGGTGGACAGGTTTCAGATGAGCTTCCAGCGTAGGAAAAAGGAGAGACAAACTACTTCTGAATATTTAGTCACTAAAACTTTATAAAGAGCAGTGAAGCACTGACAGCACCAGATTAATGAATATTGAAACATGAAGAAGATCACCAGAACATTGTCACATACAGTGCTGGAAGATGAGCCCCTCAGGTTGGAAGACACTCAAAATACGACTGGGGAAGAGCTGCCTCCTCAAAGTAGAGTTGATCGTGATGATATGACTGGAGTAAAGCTTCCAGAACTTTCAATTGCTGATGGACCATAACTCAATAAGAGGAAAAACAACCTAAACATCTATTAATAATCTGAACATGGAATGTACAAAGTACAAATCTAGGAAAATTGGAAGCTGTCAAAAATGAAATGGAGCACATAAACATCAATATCTTAGGCATTAGTGAGCTGAATGAAATGGTATTGACAATTTATAATCTGATGGGGATGACAAATTAAAGAGGAATGGCGTTACATGCATCGTGAAAGAGAACGTTTCAAGATCTATCTTGAAGGATGATGCTTTCTGTAATAAGATAATATTCAAACACCTACAAAGAAGACCAGTTAATATCACTATTATTCAAACTTACACAACCACTAAAGCCAGTGATGATGAAATTAAAGAATTCTACCAACTTCTTCAGTGTGAAATTGATCAACAGGCAAGCAAGATGCATTGATACTTACTGATGATTAGAATTTAAAGGTTGAAAACAGAGGACATATCAGTAGTTGGAAAATACTGCCTTGGTGATAGAAATGATTCTGGAGATCACATGATAGAATTTTGCCAAGATCAATTACTTCTTCATTGCAAATACCTTTTTAAAATAACACAAAAGATGACTATACACCTTTAACTCACCAGATGGAATACATACAAATCAAATTGACTACATCTGTGGGAAAGCTCCATATCATCAGGCAAAACAAAACCAGGGCAGACTGTGGAACAGATCATCAATTGCTTATATACAAGTTCAGGCTGAAGCTGAAGAAAATTAAAAGAAGTCCATGAGAAAAATATGACCTTGAACAAATCCCACCTGAATTTAGAGATGATCTGAAAAACAGATCTGATGCATTAAACACTAATGACCGAGGATCAGAAGAAGCATTGTGGATGACATCAAGAACATCATAACATGCTCAGTATTTCTCAAGCTGAGAGAACTGGAGACAAAATTTAACCCTCAACTACAATATTGAAGGATTCCTCTGGTAACGTAGTGGTTACCAATCGGGCTGCAAACTGCAAGGTCAGCAGTTCAAAACTACCAGCTGTTCCAGGGAAGAAAGATGAGGCGTTCTGCTCCCATAAAGGTTTACAGCCTCGGAAACCCTGTACAGGGTCGCTATGAGTCAGAATCAACTCCACAGCACATAATAACAACAACAACAAATAGGCAAAACTCTGAATGATGCAGAAAGCATTAAAAGGAAAGACTATGAAGAGTCACTGTACCAGAAAGGGATGGTCAATATTGCACCATTTCAAGAGGTAGCATATGATCAAGAGCCAATGATACTGAAAGAAGTCCAAGGTGCACTGAAGGCATTGGTAAAGAACAAGGCTCTGGATATTTATGGAATACAAATTGAAATCTTTCAACAAACTAATGAAGCACTGGAGGCACTCACTCATCTATGCCAAGAAATTTGGAAGACAGCTACCAGACCAACAGATTGGAAGAGATCCTTATCTGTGCCCATTCCAAAGATTGGTTACCAATGGTATGCAGAAACCATCACACAATATCATTCATATCGCATACAAGTAAAATTTTTATAAAGACAATTCAAAAATGGCTGTAGCAGTATGTTGACAGGATACTGACAAAGGTTCAGGCAGAATTCAGATGGGAACGTGGAATGAGGAATACACTTGCTGACATCAGATGGATCTTGGCTGAAAGCAGAGAATACCAGGAAGATGTCTGCCTGTACTTTATTGACTATATAAAGGCTTTCGGTTGTATGGCTCCCAACATTGGAGAAAATGAATATTCTTAATTATACTCATGAGGAACCTGTATATAGACCAAGACTGTCCTTTTAACAGAACAAGGGGTCACTGAATGGTTTAAAATCAGGTAAGAGGTATACCAGGGTTTTATTATTTCACCATACTTATTTAATCTGTATGCTGAGAACATCATCTGAGAAGTTGGATTCGATGAAGAAGAACGTGGCATCAGAACTGGAGTAGACTTATTAACAATCTGCAACATGCAGATGATACAACCTTGCTTACTGAAAGCAGAGAAGACTTAAAATACTTACTGATGAAGATCAAACACCATAGCCTTCATTATAGACTGCATCTCAATGTAAAGAATGAAAACAAAAATCCTCATCATTGGATTAATAAATACTATCAAGATAAATGGAGAAAAGATTGAAGTTGTCAAAGATTTCATTTTGCTCAGATCAACCATCAACACTCATAGAAGCAGTAGTCAAGAAATTGAATGACATATTGCATTAGGCAAATCTGCTGCACAAACCTCTTTAAAGTGTTCATGAGCAAAGATATCAGTTTGAGGTCTTAAGGTGTGCCTGACCCAAACCATGGTACTTTCAGGGGCCTCATATGGATGTGAAAGTTGGATAATGAATAGGGAAGACAGTAGGTAGAAGAACTGATGCATTCCAGTTATGGTGTTGGAGGAGAATATTAAAAGTACTATGATCTTTCAAAAGAACAAACAAATCTATGTTGGAAGACATACAGCCAGAACGCTCCTTAGAAGCCAGGATGACCAAATTTGTCTCTTTTGCTTCGGACATTATTATCAGGAGGGACCAGTCCCTGGAGAAGGATATCATGTTTGGTAAAGTGTTGTTGTTGTTGTT